TGTTGAGCTTTTATTTTTAGTTTCCCCCAAAATTGTTGATTGTGACTGCTGCTATGCTCTGTCTTGCCAGGGTGCTTAAAATGGTTTAGGATCCACTAAGCTGGCACTGGAGAGAGAAGGGGTGTGTTAGGAAAAGGACACAAATTATTCCAAGTCCAGTTCTGGCTGAGTCTTCATTGGACAAGGAGATATAAGGGCCTGCCCACTCCCTTTGCAACCATTGGCCTGACTACTTGTAGTAACAATCCTGAGAACCAGCAAAACTCCATTCCGAATGATGTTTGGGGTCCTCTTAAGAGGTATTTTAAAGTGAGGAACAAGATGAGAAGCAGGACTGTGGCCTCCCTCCTAACTCTCATGTTTCCTTTTGCTTTGTCCGTCCTCTGGATAGAAATGAATGAGATCTCTAGGCAGAGGTATTACTACGCCTGCTTATTCCCAGCTGCATGTTCTGGGCAAGTAACAAAATATACAAAACTCCAAAACAAATGTCTAAAATAGCCTCTGCTTGTCCTCAGCCAAATATTTGCTCAAATAAGAACTTCTTCCAATACTACACTTGCCTTCCTTCTTTTTCCAACACGAGCAGTACTATTTGCTTTGGGGAAAAGAAACAAGAATGTCAGAGAACCTCCGGACGCACACATCAGGAAATCGGTACACACGCCAACTGCAGCACTGGCAACTATGCCTTGACGTTGTTTGCTTCGCACTAAATGCTGGAGTTATAGGGACGCAGGTGGCACTGTGGGTTAAACCACAGAGCCTAGGACTTCCTGATCAGAAGGTCAGTGGTTCGAATCCCCGCAACGGGGTGAGCTCCCGTTGCTCGGTCCCTGCTCCTGCCAACCTAGCAGTTCGAAAGCACGCCGAAGTGCAAGTAGATAAATAGGTACCACTCCGGGGGGAAGGTAAACGGCATTTCCGTGCACTGCTCTGGTTCACCAGAAGCGTCTTAGTCATGCTGGCCACATGACCCGGAAGCTGTATGCCGGCTCCCTTGGCCAATAAAATGACATGAGCGCCGCAACCCCAGAGTCGGCCACGACTGGGCCTAATGGTCAGGGGTTCCTTTTCCTTTACCTAAATGCTGGAGTTAGAAAGGAAAAGTACAAGTTCCACGTTCCTTTTGCAAGTTCTGTGGATATGTGACCCCAAAATGGAACCATGTGTGTCCACTTTGGAGCCACTGACCTGTGCGTGGCACCTTCCACTCCCCCCGTTCGTAGGGCTTGGCTTGTTGCGTGTTTTGCTTGCTCATTTGCATGCAACCTCAGCTGCAGGGACAATTCGCGAAATTAGTCTATTTAGAATTGACGACATACTGCGGCCCTTGCAGTGGTTTCACATGTCACTCTCCCAAAGAAGGGTCTGTCTGAGACGCTCTCTGTTTCATTACAATGGAGAAGACAGTCGACTGATTTTCGTAGCAACCACTAGAGGCAGATGGCTGAATCAGCCTGCTTTTTCCTGTGCTGCAAGACACTTTGCGGGGGGGAAAGAACCCTGTTCTTGGAAGGAGTAGCAGTAATCTGGGATGGGAATCTGTGGCCTTCCATATGTTGTTGGCCTCTCAACACCCATCAGTACCAGCTAACATAGCCAGCAGCTTGGGATGATGGCTGCAGTGGTTGAAATTGAGGAGGCCAGCACTAGGACTGCGAGGGCCATTGGGTTTGATCTGTTTTGTGCTTTGGGAAGTCTCTCTCTCCCCCGGCATATGAAAGCTTTAATGCCTATTAAGGCTGATATTTTAGTACATACAATTATTACTAATCTATTGTGTTTTTAAAGGTATTTTTTCAAAATATTTTCTGAATATCTAAACTTTTTTTAAAAAGAAATGATTGCTAGACACCTTTGGTGCTTGTAGAAGAAGAGCAGGGTAAAAACTGTAATGAAATAAATAAGTAAGTAAAAGAGAAGGGTATCTGCTCCCTTCCCCAACCTTCAGGAAGGAAAGAAGGAAGGAATTTAAATACACGTGTCCATGCAAATGTGTGAAATGATCCTTAGAGAATGGGATGTGTGCAACTAATATACAACCCTGGCTATTTTACAGACAGGCACACCATACCTTTTGATGATAAATAAAAACTAATATAAAAAAGGACACAGGGTGGTAGAAGTTTGTCCCTGGCCTCCTTACTGAAGAAGCTCACGCTTGTGAAGTTAAACTCTTTCTGCCTAAGATTTGTCTGCCAAGGAAACCCCATGCACTTTCTTCAGGACAACCTTCCCTGATCATCTTGTTCCTAGGAGGTGCAAAGCCCTTTCCAAACATTATGACATTGAGTAAGATAAAGCAAGTAGCACTGTAATAAATCAAAGCTATTTAATAAAAATTACTGAATCAAATTGTATTTAGAAAAAGGTGTCCTGGCATTCCCATAAAGGTCCTTTTCAACTCAAGTAATTGGATTTCTTACTTCTTTTTTAAAACAGCTTATGAAAGATGCAAAGGAGAAACCCCTCTTTTCCTTTAAGCCACCGCAGTCCATATGTAATGTTTAAGGCAATAAGAATGCTAGAGATCTAATTTCTTTTCTCTGCCTAGCCTCAGGTCGCTGTGCAGCTGCATCCAAAGCCCAACAAATGTTATTTTTGTATTTGAAGCAGTGAACGAATGGCAGTGTAAATTTGCCCTGATTCACCCATGCGAGGGACCAATTTGGCAGATCATCCATCTTGCTCACTGTACACTGTCAGGGATGGCATGAATTCCGTACATGATAAACAGATTTCTCCTCAGATCTGTGTCCTTTAACCCACAGCAAGGTCAAAATGACGGCTGCCTGGTTAATAAAACTGCATGGTGCTGGTTCAAGCCCCCACCCTCTAATTTCGTCCCTGGTGCCAGCTTAAAGAAATCACAAACTACAGCAGCTGTGAATTTTCCATGCAAATCTCGGACCACACAATGCTAACCCCACACAGAAATAATACTGGTGTTGGATGGAAATAAAAGGAGAAATGATGGAGAATAATTTGGGGAGGAGGAGAAAGTCAAGTCAGGACTAAATGAAAGTATTGCACTTAACAGCTACTTTTCCCAACCTGCCTGCACCCAAATCTGCTGTCAGCCTGACTATTTGATTACTGGTGAAATGTTTGTATCGCTTGCATTTGCTTTGTGTTTTTCATGAATCGGAAACACACAAAGGGATATGAGTTCTCTCCACCCCACCGCAAGAAGAAAAATTCATATATTCAGTATGTGATTTCTACAGCCTGTATTCGTAGGGGTCACTATGTGTTCTGGACAGTAGACTAGGCAAATTAAGGGAGAAGGGTGTATGAGAAAGGATTGGAAGTATTATTTTGCCCCCTCTCAAAACCCCCAAGCTGTTCAAAGATGGTCAAGCTCCTCACTAGGGATGGTGCTATCTAGCAGTTAAGGGTTGCTCAACCTTCCTTTCCATTTATAATATAAGTCCAAGATGGCTCATTTGAATAATTAAAACAATGGTTTTAAATAAAATAAAAAGCCCAACCCCAAAAATACATGTTAAAAACAGCCCAGAGCAGTAGATAAAAAGCACCAAAAGTAAGATGGCCAGACACTCCAAGCAGGCCAAATACCTACCAGAAAAAATATATTCAAATTGTTGTTTCCTCTTGATTCAGAGGATTTCCCCATGGTACCCCATCTCCCTTGTCCTGCAGGAGCCAAAAGGTGCAGTGTAAGTTTAGGGCCCTTTAACAACCAGTCAGCTCCTCTGAGAAGAGGTAGGGGCTTTCTACATGACCAGTCTCGTCAACGTACATATGCTTTCCATCCTATCAAGGCGCTTGTAGAGACAACAGCTGTCTCTGAAGGACCCTGGGAGCTCTCTAAGGTCCTGCAGGTAGTCTAACTGCCTTGAATTCCTGCCTTGGCCTCTTGATGGGGCATAAAGATATGTATATGTATATACATATATCTATGGGCATAAAAAAAATAAATAGACAGTCCCATCAAGAGTGAACACAAACAATAACGTGGTGGCAAATGTAACTATTTTTGCCTGTGTTGGGAGGAGGTGCTATTTGGGGTAGTGAAATGCTTTGTCTCCTTTTTAGGGTGTGGATTTATGGGTAGCTAGGGCAGCAAAGTCTCTCTGTGCTTTGCACCTTTTAAAGACACTCACTGTGGGGGCAGGAGATCTTTGTGTGAGTGTTTGGTGTCTGCGGTGGCCATTCATCTCCCATGATGCCTCAGTCTGCGTGGAATTATGCTGCAGACCTTCCAGTCCTTAACTGCCCCTTTCCCCCCACCCCCTTTAAAAAAAGTGAGTTGAATGATTTTGCTCTCCAAAAGTTGAAATCCGTCTCCCCCAATCTGCAATCCACAAATGGTGTGGAGGGCATTTTGGCCTATCCTTTTCAAAAACGATCCTGTCTGAACTTGACTTCTGTGGAGCTGCTTGCTGACTTCCTCTCTGCCGAGCTTTCTTTGACTGCTAAAGGGAAATCTGTTGCTCTGAAGGGGCAAACCTGAAGCAGCCAGCCTGCCCTCTTAGTGGGCTCATAAATAAAGTTGCTTTGCAGCATGATCAATCAACATTTATTTGTTTAGGTTAAAGGTTGTAACAAAGAAGGCGGTACACGAAATGACAAACTGTTACCCAGACAAAATGACAAATCCCAATATGTACACACAAACTCGTGAATCAAATATTTGACTGGCTAATTTGATGCACTCTGTGAATTCTGTCCCCACTGCAACTCTGTCCTCTGTCTCACAGGAGTGCACCTGTTTACTGGGTTCTGTGAGATGTTTTTCTACATCTTGACTCCCTGATTCATGGATACATAGCCTCCCAAGTTGGTAGAAGCAAGCTGTCCTTCTCAAGGAGTCTGTATAAGCTTCTTCGTTCTCTGTTCCCAGCTGAATTTTCTTCTAAACACATCCCAACCTTTCCCCATTCTATCCAAAATTATGCCAGGAGCTTCAATTGTAGAGTTGGAAGGGACTATGGAGGTCATCTAGTCCAACTCCCTGCAATGCAGGAATCTTTTGCCCAACGTGGGGCTTGAACCCACAACCCTGAGATTAAGAATCTCATGCTCAACTGAGTGAGCTATCCCAACATTCAATGACTGGGGCTCAGTAGGCGGCATTCTATGTTCTATGATGTCAGACAATGGCACAGGGGGCTACTCAGCAAATTTAGCCAATCACTGTATTAAAGAAGGGATTTTATTAGCAACGCCACTTTCTAGACAAGCTAGAAAGGCAAAACTTTCTTTGCCTATAGAATGTCCTTGGTGTAAATTGAGGAATCCCTTTCACAGCTATTTCTCAAGCAATTTTTATTGAATTTCATAACAGGGACTGGTTTCACCTTTGGCTAAAACAAATGACTGTAAAATGATCTAAGAGATCATTTCGGATTCCTCTCCTGGAATGTACCTGGAAGTTGCACCCACCTGCAAGTGGTAGGCTAAAACCAGTTTAGCTGGCCTGATGGAAGTCATTCAGATTTTTCTCAGCAGTTTGGATTTCATGGGGCTCAGAAACAGCTTTGGATTTGGAAGACTGCTGAAATTCCCATGGCTAGTACTGTCTGCACACTTACCATGCATCCCTGTGATAAGGTACCAGCCAATATATCGTACACAAAATACTGCAGGGAAAGCAGGAGTTTCCAGGAGCCTTTCTTCCGAAAGGAACTAGTCCTATAAAAAGTGACCCTGGATTTCCCACCATGTGGGGAACGGGGAGCGTAGAACAATGCACAAGATGAAAAGGAAGTGGAACACATGTGGACACATTCATTCTCTCGCTGCTTCTCAAATCACAGAAACACACATCTTTCCTCAAAAATCCAACACCACCAGGTTCAAAAATTTGAGAAGTGACACTGAAAATCCTATGATATTTGTGAACAAATAGAAGACATTTTCAACAGTGTGTGGAGGATTGATTCCGCAGTGCGCAGGCATGACAGAGGCTTTACATGATACATTTGCTCAGCACCTGTATCACTCAGCTCTCTGACAGGACAAAGAGGCAAATCCAGGGTGTGTGTGTGAGTGTGTGTGTGTCTGAAAAAGAGCAGCAGTAGAGAAGGTCCGATGGAGGGCTCCTTTGTGCAAATGCAGCTTCCCTGATCTGAGCCATTAGCAAGAAGGCAACATAGCTTAAAGCGACATTTTTCCTGCCTACGATAAGCAGGGGTTCCAAGCAGGTTTGTGTTTAGAAGTAGTGAGGAAGCAGACTTCCAAGCAGACTAGCACCACAGTAGAGCATTCGTTGGAATGAGGCTGCATGAAAAACAATGGAGGGAGTCAGAGTTCCAATAGCCATACCTGGAGGGCCACTGGTTCTCTACTTCAGCTCTAAACCAACCAATACAGTGATACCTCGAGTTACAAACGCCTCAGTTTACAAATGCTTCAGGTTACAAACTCTGCCAACCTGGAAGAGTTACCTTGAGTTGAGAACTTTGCCCCAAGCTGGGAATGGAAATCATGTGCTGGCGGCGCAGCGGCAGCAAGAGGTCCCATTAGCGAAAGCACGCCTCTAGTTAAGAACAGTTTCGGGTTAAGAACTGACCTCCAGAACAAATTAAATTCATAACTAGAGGTACCACTGTACTTAAAAAGGGAACTACTGTGGATGGTGTGTGTCCAGGCCTCAGAAGAGAGCAGAGGTCTGTGTCATCAGCTCCTGAGGATTGGCAGGTAGCACGAGGCCAGTGGATTTTCCAGGCCTGGCATAAGCATTTAGAGCTTGGCTGTCTACCTTTGTCTGGTCAATGGACCTGCTGCACCTCAGGATCCCACTTGCAGATCAGGTGCCTTAACCTTAAAGGTAAAGGGACCCCTGACCATTAGGTCCAGTCGTGGACGACTGAGGTTGCGGCGCTCATCTCGCTTTACTGGCCGAGGGAGCCAGCGTACAGCTGGTCATGTGGCCAGCATGATTAAGCCGTTTCTGGCGAACCAGAGCAGCGCACAGAAACGCTGTTTACTTTTCCGCCAGAGTGGTACCTATTTATCTACTTGCACTTTGAGGTGCTGTCGAATTGCTAGGGTGGCAGGAGCTGGGACCGAGCAATGGGAATTCACCCTGTTGCGGGGATTCAAACCGCCGACCTTCTGATTAGCAAGCCCTAGGCTCTGTGGTTTAACCCACAGCGCCACAACCTTAAGGGTCACTAAACTGGGGAAGGCACCCCTTTCAGTTCAGGGTCTGGCATGGCCACCTGCAATGCCTGTCTCTCTCTGGTATGGGGCAGCTTTTCCTCAAGAAGCAGCAGAAGGAGTCTAAAAACTCATCCTTGCCTGCCAGCCAGAGACAAGGTATTAAACCCATGTATATAACCATGTAGGAATAAGTGCAGGCCCCATGTACAAGAGACCAAGAAAGAAAGACAGAAAACAACAGCAAAGGCAAAATCCACCCATATGCATACAACTGGGGGGGAATTACTAAGGAAGAAAATGAGAAATAAATACTACACTCTCCAGATAGCAAGCAGACAAAGGCCATGTGCAATCGGAAACTGGAGTGGACTGAAAAGCAGATTCACTATGATTTGCCAAGAAATGTCTACCATTGATCTGATCCACTATTTAAATTCCAGTGCACGGCCCTCGATCTCCAGTAATAATAACCCAAATTCCATTTAGTGTTCATTTGAGCAGTCAGGATAAAGTCATTTCTTATTATCTCCCCACTGTGTAAAAAACAGCTTGAAGGTAGGAAGTCAGCAAGCATTTCCACCAAAAAGTAATTATCGGGAGTGACATTTTTACTGCTGGCGTGCCATAAGGCGGACTGCGCAGTTGGAAGGACAAGCCGCTGAAGCAAAATGACAGGCCATGCCGTGACATTCCAGCAAAACCCAGACATTATTTTCCTGGCGGTTGGGTCTGATGTACCACTTCTCATTAAGTCCAGGGCCTGGGCTTCAGGTTCATGCCAAACTAGTCAAATCCAAAAGTTATGTATAAATTAATACCGGGGGGCGGGAAAGGACCAACCAGAGAGGGCAGGCAGCTGCTGTGAACTTCTGCTGGGAAGGGTTCCCTGCTCCGGCCATGGCTTCAAAAAGAAATCGGAAACACATGGCTGTGGAACGTCTACCAAGGGCAATTCAGGGTCTCTCTTTACCTTTTGATACACCTTGGGGGGGGGGGAGAAATCTGAGGATTGCCACAGCAGTGGTTTTCCAAGTTTCTCTTGAGAAAACCTTTTCCATATAGGCTGGGCTGTCAAAGGACCCCTGCATGGCTGCCATGGATTTTGGGGGCATACTTTAAGTCACACTCATGCCACAGGTTAGGCCCACTGCCACCCTGTGTGAATAAAGAATGTTGGGGAAGATCAGGAGTTGAGGGCAAAGTGTTGTTCAATGAAGTTTCTCTGCCACTATTGATGTTTTCACTGAAGAACATCCATAGCCCCCCACAACTGAGCTTGAAAACTGAACAAGAGGGACACGAGCTGCTCAAAGGGGCCAGTGATGGTACTCTTGATGTCATCAGGATGACACAGACTGCTAGACATAATAGTAACATCCAGTCAGGGATATTGCCTTCCCTTGTTAAGCCGGGATTCACAGGCAGACCATGCCCAAATCTACTCACCCAAGTGCAGAGGCCAGCACAACCAATAACTTTCCCATGTGCTACACTAAGGTATATTTGTTTGGGTACATCTTTTGCTGCTCTATGTTTTAGGTGTCACTTAACGCAAGCTGCTATAAAACACAACTGTGGCAAAGCACTGGCAGCTATGCCTCCCTTCCCTAATGGTTTTCACAATATGGGCATTCTTCCACAAAGGTGTTCTGTTTTATTATTGACCTGACGCAAAACCAAAGGATAAGGGGGGGACGGGGACGACAAAATAAAAATGGAATGAATGAGCAACAGATTCCATAATAGTGTGTAATGAAACAAAGAGTCAATGATTTGCATTTGATACCCTAATTCTGCTCTGTGGTAACGTAAACCCACTGCTTTTTATCCTTTCCGAGAGATACTTTCCCTAAGGATGTAAGAACAGCCCTGTTGAATAAACGGAAAGGCAATCTAGTATAGCATCCAATTTTTTTTATAGAGGCCAACTTGATGCCTTTGGAAAGCCCTTAATCAGAGCACGAAGGTAGTTCTCATCTTGTCTATTTCCAGATGTACACTGTTTGTGACACAGAAGTTAGATCAATCCTCCTCCATGATTTTGTCTAATCCTCTTTTTACGTAATCTAAACTCAGAGGTCTTTGTCATGCGCCTTGGCACAATGAACCATCTAGCAAACTGAGAGGACTCCACTTTCTCTCTCAAGTCAAGCTGCTGTGGTCCCATGAAATGCAGTAAGACTTGAACTAGTATTCTGGATTACTTTTTTATTATTAATATTATTATGTAAGTTTTCCCCCTTTTCTATATTAAGTTTATATTATTTCATTCTAATGTTGAATATATCTTATGTTTATTGAATTGTTTTTGCTTTATTTGAATTTAGATATGCTTTGTGACAGATTCTGCCCCTTCCCCCAAATGTTACATACTTTGATAAGTTGTGACAGCCGTTGTGATGTAATAGATTGAATGCTGAACTTGTTAAAGTTCATTGGGTGACTACTTCTTAGCCTAACCCACCTCGCAGGATTGTTGTGAGGATAGACTGGGAGGAGATCCATGTACACTGCACTCCACGGAGTAGATAAAGGTACTTTCAAATGCCCATCAATTTAATTGGGTGATTCTGAGTTCCAACGTTATTCCTTCCTATTGTACAGCTTAAAGTAATTTTCACAGCATACCCATGCACAGATCTCGTCACACCCTATACTAAAACAGAGCTGAGGCTCTTTAGGCGGGTCGATGGGTGAACTGAGGCATCAGAGTTGAAAGGGTATTTTGGCCATCAAGTCCAACCCTTTGTTCAGTGCAGGAAATCCAGAACCACAGCATCCCCCAGCAGACGGCTTTCCAGCTTCTGCTTGAAGGCCTTGAGAAAGAGAGAGCCCGCCACACCTCTCAGTCATTGGTTCCATTCCTGAACTTCCTTACTGTCAGAAAGTTTCTTCCAATGCTTAATTGAAGTATACCCTCCTGTAACTTCAGTCTATTA